CATCATACAAAATGTAATCAAATGGAAAAGTCTCTTTTTAAAACTTGTTTTATTAGTTTTAATCTTTTAACTTTATGCATCAAGCAAAAATTTAATTATATGCAACATTCTCTGACTGGAAGAAATTAGTTTAACATTTAAACCTATTTTCTGCACATTCCAGCACATAAAATAAAATATTTTTTGTGTTTACACTCAGTCTTTCAAATAGATGCAAGTAAAACACAGCAGAAAATAAATAAAGTCAAAGACTCAGCGGTCCTGTTGCTCTATTTTCACCTGTAAAGCAGGAGTGGGGAGGCGGAGGTTACCCTGGTGCAGGTGTGCCGCGGTCAGTGAAGAATCCGCGAGTTTCTCTGTGAGTTTCCCATTACGTCGTAGCTACTCGGTGCTGTTGAATTAGTTTTTCTACGCTGTAAAATAACTCAAAATGTTAGAAATATTCCAGTGTTAGAAAATCAGCACTGCTCAGTGTTAGCCATTGTTAATCTTCAAAACTGACTAGGTTACTTTTAAACATATAACACTGTCAAAAGTGTTAATTTAACACTCAGAGGTGTGGACCCATATAGACACTCTCCAGTGTTAATTTAACACTGGAGATTTTGCTGTGCCACCATGTTTTATTCAGCCAGTAGCTACTCTGAATTGACAAGCGTGTTACAACTAGATTTGCTGAACGTGTTTGACTGGATAAGTAAAAACAACATGATTTTAAACGTGTCTAAATCCAAATCCATGTTAATAGGAAGTAGAGGACGCTTAGTCAACAGCCCACAGCTAAACTTTCCATAGCTGGATCGGTATTAGAACAGGTCACCCAGACTAGATTACTTGGTGTTACCATAAACCACCACCTTTCATGGTCTCAGCACATCAACTCTGTTATAAGGAAAATGGGACAGGGCATAGCTATAGCTAGGAAATGCTCCTTTTATATCACTTCTTCAATTATGAAAGATGTCATTAATGCACTAGTATTATCTCATCTAGAGTACTGCTCAATCATTTGGTCAGCAGCTAATAAGACAGATCTGAACTTCAGTTAGTCCAAAATAGGGCGGCCAGATTAGTGTTAAGGTGTTCATATTATACAAGTATTGATAAAATGCACGGTAAACTTTCTTGGCTTTCTGTACAAGCTAAATTATACTATGGCTTACTTGTATTTTTAAAGAAAGCAATACTGGTAAACACACCACACTTTTTTTATGCTCAGTTGCAGATCCAGATGAAATACATAATCATGCTACACGATTCTCAACTAACCACAATTTAGTAACTCCTCGAGTTAAAAGTAACTTTTTGAAAAACTCTGTTATATTTAGAGCATCTTTTCAGTGGAATAAGTTGCCTTATGCAATTAGAGAATTGGCTTCTATTCATAATTTTAAAAATCACCTAAAAGCCTATTTAGGCAGTTTTTAATTTATTTGTAAATATTGTAAGAGGGTAATGTCACTTGTAATGGAAATTGTGTATTTTGTTTGAGTGTTTTTTTATAATTTTTATATTTACATGCTTATATTTTCAGAATTGTAAAACCTTATTGTGGATGTAAGAGCCACATTATGTGGACATTTTGCATCCAACTCATAACATTTTATTCGGTGGTATTTGATGGTTTGGGCCCCAGGCCAAAGACTAGAAAATATGCTGAAGCAAATCTTCCCTTTGGCTTCACCTGCACAAGTGCCGAGGTAAGTCTCCCTGCAGAATTGGTTTTCGCTGGGCTCTTCAAATCACAGACAAACAGGATCCCATATTCTTGATTTTTAGTTTACATGACTAACTGCTCCTGACATGTTGGAGATGTTTGCTCTTTATACAGTAAAGTTACAGCGGGATACAAATAACATCAGGCTGATCCTGCCACGATTTGTTCCCCCGGTTCAAATCACAGACTAACAAGATCTCACAGCTGTTTATGTTTTTGAACCCATTTTGCACAGAGAGGCATTTTTTAAAAATGTATTGACAGCAATGTTGAATATTACACAGGAAAAAACAACTACAGTAAAATAATGACACCGTGACGCCTCTGCCTTTGTAAATGGAGGGACAGTAACTGCTGTAAACCTGCAGACAGTCAGATTAACAGTATTTCGTCTCTTTCTGCCATCCTGCAATTCATCTCCTGTAAACAATAACGTGGCCACAGCGTGACGTGAAAAAGCCACATACCTTTGACGTTGCGTGACGAACTCTGTATTCCTCGTCCACACGTAAACGCAAAAAAGGAGTTTTAAAAAATCTCGTTTTCGGTGATTCGAAACGCCGTTTACGTGGACGAAACAGCTGCGTGTTCAAAAACACCCGTGTAGGTGCGGACGCAGCGTAAAAGAGTTAGTAGTTTATTTTATTACTACCTGTAATTTATTGCAGATTACTTGTATTTGCTTAATTGTTTACTAAATGTTTGAGGTGTGAAATAAACCGCAATGGAGCAAAATATGGTGTGTGTGTGTGTGTGTGTGTGTGTGTTGTGTGTGTGTGTGTGTGTGTGTGTTGTGTGTGTGTGTGTGTGTGTGTGTTTGACACTTTAAGAGCCGACGCCATCAGAGCACACACTTACTGTGCAGTAACACGGAATTCCAGTCTTCTTCCACTCGAGATTTGCACATTTCGTTTTAACCCTAATGATATATTTTTGTGACAGGTGACGTCACCTTCCTGTCAGACACGTGAAAACAACCTGAGGACATTAAAGCAGCAGGTTAAATAACGTTTATAAATAACGTATGGCAGCCTCGCTTCTGTCAGCCTGCCCCAGGGCAGCTGTGGCTACACCTGTAGCTGCCTCCACCAGTGTGTGAATGTGAGAGTGAATGAATAGTGGCATTGTAAAGCGCTTGGGTGCCTTGAAAAGCGCTATATAAATCAATCCATCATTATTATTATTTTCGATGTGCACAGCGCAGAAACAGAGACACTGACCTGAGTGACGCAGAGTTTCACGTCCAGGACACGTGCACAGGCTTCAGTCACATCGTGGCCACAGACGTCACAGCAGCTGTTTCTTTTCTTTTTAAATTTTTTTTCCTCCCCTTTTTTGATTATGCAGAAAAAGTAGAATTGGGCTGAAAGATCTATCACTTTATCACCTCTTCAGGTTGTAAATCGTGTTTTTAAAGAGTAACTAAGTAACTAAGTAATTAATTACTTTTGAAAATAAGTAATCAGTAAAGTAACGGGATTACTTTTTGGGGGAGATAATCATAATTAGTTACTGATTACTTTTTTCAAGTAACTTGACCAACACTGGCCACCACCAAACAACTGAGTTATTTTTACACATCTGCCAGCATCTGGCCAATCCACCACCTCTCATTGTTCATGCCGTTACAAAGAAAATTAATAAGTCATCAGCTGATGGCCAGTCCAGCTATGTTAACCTATGTTTTGCCGAAAAATAGTTTTCTGCGGTGCCGTCTTTCGTGCTTGGCTCCTCCTACCTTTGCTAACATGATGCTCATAGTGCAGAAGCCAATGCTGCATTCACTTACACTCGGATATCTGAGCTTCACTATGAAAACCTAATCATACATTTGATATTTCATTGATTTTTATTGTTTTAGCTTCAGGGTGGCACCTGGGGTAGCCAGTGTGGTTGGGGAGGTGGCCTGTGCCCCCCCCAGGCCACCCTGCTGGACACGTCACTGCTTCTTAGATGGGATGGCTCATGCTACCTGGTTACAAAAATAGAGTAAAATCGATAAATGGGTAAAGAATATCTTTTTCTTTTTTAAATTAATCGCATTTCATGAAATTCTTTTAGCTGACAGGAATAATGCAGCACATCAGATTTCTGGTAAGATGCTTCAGTCAGATTCACTGACTGTGTTCAGCACTGATGTGTTGTTGTTGTTATACACCAGCAGTTGATGGCAAAAGTCAACAACACACCTGTAAAACCAACACAACAACGTGCTGCTTCAGCGACACCAACCCATGTTTTGTTTTGGAGTGGTATACTGAAGCAGAGGTGTAATCAGTGACACTGAGCGAGCTCAGGCCCACTGCTTCATCATAAAGAAGTATGGAGTTCAAAGCATCAGTGTGGGAGGTGATCTGAGGTTTGATTCCATCCATCGTGTCCATCGTCAGTGTTTGCTGCTTTTCATGTTGTTTTCTTGTGCTCGGGTTTCTGGGAAAGGTGTCAGTGGGACTTGCTGTAAAATAAGCAAGGGTTCAAGACTTTGCTGTGACCTCCTCGTCTCTGGGAGCTCTGGGCTCTCTTACTGCTGCGTTACAGCTACCGCCCTCTCTGACAGGTGGAGGCACATCCGGTCGTCGATGGCGGAGTCTCGGGTCATTGTGGAGGAGCTGCTGGCTCTGTGTCTCCAGAGGATCACTATGGAGGAAAACAGCATGCGCACTGAGCAGGGTGAGAACAACACTCGACACCAATCAGCTGTCAGTAGATCACATGACATAACCCCTAAACTCACCTCATTCGTGGATAAATCTGTATGTGGGCGCTCTCTGCTGACCTCTGACCTGTTTTTATATAAAACGCCAAACTAAAATTCGACAGGTAAGACGGGTTTGGTAGTCACACACTTTTAATCGGTCTGCTCTCTCAGAGACAATCGAGCTGGTGAAAAACTTCGAGGAGGTCAGAAAGAAGTGGCTGCACGCCGAGCTGGAGCTGAAGAAGTACAAAGAGCTGCTGGTGAAGTCGGACGTGGCCAAAGCCGCTCTGGAAGTGAAGCTGAAACACGCTCGCAATCAGCTGGACGTTGAGATGAAGAAACGCTACAAGGTGGAGGCCGACTACCAATACCTGGTGAGGCAAGACCTCAAGGTTAGAGGTGGAAATCACGGCTGGCAGGTTTACATGTTTCTG